CCTGCTGAAGTTTAGGTGTTTAACTGAATTTGGGCAGCAATGTCTTCTGACAGTCAACAGGTTTCTGCCTTGCAAATGACCTAAAGGAGGAACGCCCTGTTTCCACAGTATAGTTAGTCTTTGATTTTGGCAGCGTTTTTTTGTTTATTTGTTTTAATTTCTTTTTAAAATAGACCATTGTGAATGATCAGACTTAGAAAGCTAGATGTATTTAGCACATCTCTTCTGGCTTGCTGGGAAAGAAGAGTTTTTATACTTCAGACTGTGCAATCTCAGTACAACTGAGGATTTTCTAACTCTTTAATCCTTGAGTTTCTGGTCTATGTGTATATATATGTATACGTGTAAGAAATACATGAATCACGTTGACAAACTTTGACAGTAGGGGCAATAAATTGAGCCCCAGACTTGACATCTCTCGCTGAAGGTTTTAATGTGATGAATAATACAGAGTGCTTAATACTCTGAGAGTAAAGTGCAAAACTGTTTTAACACGTTTTGACTTAACTTAGTGGTTCCACCGGAGATACATGTTTGGACCATGTCAAGGACTTCTCTCCTTTACTGGAAGTTATCACCTGCAGAGTTGACATTTTGAAGATGATTACTACACATTACCTACTGAAGCATGAATACCACATATCCAGGAAGTTTCAACTTCTTCATAATCCATTACCACATAGCCTGTCTGATTAAGTAAAACCACTGTACCAGAGCAGCCCATATTCTGTGTGTAGCAAGAGCTCCAAATTTCCAACTGAGAGATCCAGCTGGTTTGTAATAGGGCAGGGCTTTGTGCTTGCTTGCAGGTCCTAAAGACACTGACTGCCTGGTGTTCCTCAGAACGAGAACTTTTTCTGGGGGCTCCTAGCGTCTGTGTGCTTTGCTTTGTTTAATAATTCAAAGGATTTTTATTTTTTTTGTGCTCAGATTTTTTTTTCCTTACTTGGAAAAGGAGAAATGATTCTGTGGTTTAGAACAAAAAGATCTGGAGCCTAACACAGGCTTTTTCTCAGTCTCTCAGGAGAACATGAGATTGGCAAAAGCTTCCTACTCCTCCATTCCTTGCTAGCTTTCCACAAAAGGCAAATGATGCTTATCTGAAAAAAAGGTGTCTAAAGCTAAATATTTCTTACAAATACATGTCCATGATTTTATTTCACTTAGCATACAAAAACCTGCATTTATAGGTGTGTATTCTGGATCAATTCCATTGATCCAAGTGTGTGAAAATAAACAGCAATCGTTGTAAAAAAACAAGCAGAATTACTTCTTCTGTTCTTACTGTGTTGAGTGCTTTCTGCAGCCTCAGTGAGAATGTTTTGCTTCTCAGTTTTGGTGTAAGTGTAAAAATGTGTAAGTTTTGGTAGTTTGTTTAGCTACAGTGAGGAGCATGGTCCCAAGCTGAAATCATTAATGACATTAATAACAGAACCAACTAAAGAAAACCCCCAAGCAAACAAAAAAGCAAACTTCTGCCTGGACAAGGGACCCCGTTGTTGCTGAGGACTCTGAGCTGGGAGATCCTGTTCATTTTTGATAGGACAGCTAACTTTGGCTGATATGTTGGGACACAAATAGAAGTTAGAAGTAGTGGAAAGGAGAGCAGAGTTCACGTTTGCTGGAGGCCCTGGGGTTCTCCATGGATGGGTTTTGTAACACATAAGGTCAGGGTGGACTGTGATGTTAGTAATGGCTTGTGGCCTGGGAAGCATTTTGTTGAGGGTTATTATTGTTGTATATTCTGTAAATCCCAAGTTTCTTTTTTCTCATTTGCTTCCCCTGTTTACCCAAACCACTGGTTTTTCACCTGTAACCATAATCTCTTCTGCTTTCCTTCTAAAATTCCTTCTTGCTCTTCTTTCCCCCCATGTCCCTCTCTCTGTGTTTCTTCCACACCCACCTTAATTTTTCCTCATTTCCCATGAAGGCTCTACCTTCTTTCCTCTTCCACAACCAGCCATTTCACTTTTCTACCTTCCACTCCTACTTTTTTCCTTCTGTTAAGTTCTTCCCTTGTATCTTGAACTTTGCTTTCCTTGGTTCCTCCCATAACTTTTTCCCCAGTTTATCTTTCCTCATCTTTCTCCTTATATTGTTTCCCTCTCATGTTCAGGTTTTCCAGGTGGCATCGCTTCCTTCACCCTCCTGGTGCAGGTGATGGGCTGCCTGGGATGTGGTTGTGAACAGGCCATGTAAGTGGTAGGGGTGAAGCACTTCTAAATTCTTCTGTCTCCACCACGTTTGCACCTGAAGGTGTGAAGGCATGGCCTCCTTCCCAAAGGTCTCGGCTCTGTCTCTCCTAAGCCTGCATCAATAGAAACTGCGGAAGCACCTGGTGCATCTTGAGAAATCTAACACTGCTGTTCTTTTTGAGAAGACGCAGATACTCGAGACAAACTTTTCATGCTTCCTTTTCTTTAGAAAATGTTCATGATGTAGCAAGAAGATGGGAGATGGGATGATGCTGTATTTCACTCGTTTTCTACCCTCTACCTTGCAAATGTTTTTTGGTATTAATTCTTGCTGCAGTCTCACGAATGCTGTACGGGATTGTCGTACACGTCATTTTTAAAGCTGCGGCTACTGCTGTTTGTACCCTGCGTGTCACTTGCTTTGCTGCTGTGTGCAATGTCTGGTTTTCTTCACTGTCTGGTTTTCTTCAGTCTTAACACCTACTACTTGAGAAACGACTTTGTCAAATTTAGTACTATTCAGCCCGGCAGAGTATTACGATTTGTGACTTTCAGCGGTGTGCGGTGTAGCATTTACCCTTTCCCCAGAATTTCCGTCTGTCTCCTACTTCTATTGCTGAAAACTGTTACTGACGTTTCTGAATTGGAATGGGTGGCTCTAGGGAGAATATTTTCTCTTTTACATTCAGCCAGCTAAATCATCAGCCCAACAAGCTATCAGCTCGACAAGCTCTTGTGGAGAGACTTTCCTTGTCGACACCCCTCTCTTTCCTTTTCATCAGTTACGGGTATTTTCTCATCTCTTTTCGTACGTTTCCAGCTTAACCTCCCTCTTTGTCTATGATGTGGGACAACATCAATGGAATATTTAATTTGAGAAAAAATTAATTCCTGTACTGTACTACAGCTATGTAAAGTAATTTTAAAATGCGCTACTTCTCTTCCAACTTATAATTCTTGATGATCAGGTGAAGCTAGCTAAGTGTCATCCAGACCCATCTTACTGCACATTGGACTTGAAACCGAATTTTTGAGCAATTAGCATTGCATTACTTTATTCATGGCAGCAGTAGCAAATTTTGGTGTAGGTATCAGTCACCTAGTAAAACCCTTTCTGGTAGTATTATTTCGGTTAGAAAAGCCTTTTGATGTGAAGACTTGGAAGTCAGAACTGGGATCTGTTCCTGAAACCGTGTGTGAATAATCCCTATTCGCATTACTAACGATACTGACTTCAATTAGATGAATCCAAGCACAGAATGGTAATTTTTCTGGCATGGGAAAGCTGATAGTATTTTTAGAGCTATTTTTATTGATATGTTTTAAAACGTCACTTATTCCAGTCTTTCCCCCTTTCTTTACGATTGCACAAAAATAATACATCAACTGTTTTTGTTCCTACAAAGTCAAAGTTGTGTTCCTTTGAAGCTGAGTAGAAGGAAACATCAGGTCCATGGTTTCACCATCTGCATATGAAATACAATAATTTCTTTAAAAATATTTTTAATATTGAACCCTTTGATTTTTAGATCTGTTTATCTATAAAATATCCTAGGTATTTTATTGTCCCCAAATAGCTTAAGTTCCTTATTTAAGTCTTAGATTTTGATGCTGAACCATGTATTTGTAAAGACACATGAAAGTTAATTTAATCAAAGGAAAATTTAGGTAAAGGCTGCTTCATATTAGAAGGAGCTCATTAGACCATGATGGTTTAGTGATGAGCCCTTTCACGAAGCCTTTATGAAACAGACTTTAACAGGGAAACTAACTCTGTTTTCTGGATATGGAAGACTTTTTGCCTGTAATTTTTGGAAAATGTTTTCTTTTGTTTTTTCTTCTTCCCTTCATAAGGAGAGACGAAAAAAATCTGAACAGAATACTACTGTCCTCATTTCTAAGAAAGAACGAATCAACAAGTAACAGCCTATAATGTAGTAACACAATCTAAAGGGCCATAAGATAAATTAATGGAAGCGGGTTCTCGTACATTGTTTTGGAGACTGAGCATGCTGAATTGTTTCACAACCAGCACGCCTAATTATTGTGTCTGCCACATTCATCTATTTAAATCATTCCCAACTTTTGGATTGCTGCCTAGAATATTACTGCAGCATGCATTTCAACTGGTTATTCCCTTGTCGCGCGTAACTTGACGGAGGAGCCTGATTTTGTTTGGAGAAAGAAATACAAGTGATTTGGCAGCATGTTTGTAGTAATCTGATAAAAAGGGGTGATCGGTTTCGTAATGTTGATTTGAATGAGTTGCACGTGAACTGATGCTGTATTTGTTTTGTCAGGTCAGTGACTTAAAAAGTGCCTTTGTCAAGTCACTTATATGAGCGAGGACTGCTACGCTCGTGTTCTCAAAACCCCATCTTTGCCAGCCAGACATTGCCTTCACCTTACACCTTGGCGGAAGATACCTCAGCTGTCTCCATTTGCCAATTAGTTGATGGGAAACTGAAAGCAGAAGAAGAGGAAGAGCAATTATTGTTATTACTGGGACATGAACAAATGACTGCGTTGCTTTTGTCGTGTTATCAATACCAGCAAGCGACCGTCAGAGAAATACTGTTCTATCAAGGAGTGCCATTGCGTTGAAGGACCTTGGCTCTGAAACTGGTGCATCCGTGATACAATCAACAAGGCCACGTGTTCTACAGACAGAAATGCGACTGAGCATGGTTTTTCCCAGCCAAAAGTCTACAAGCGGGACTTAATGATTGATGAGTGACTGCTTGCTGATAAACTTTCTCTGTTTATTCTGCTTTGTGTGCGTTGGACATCGTTAATCGTCCCCCACTTTTTTTTTAAAGCTTTCTTTTCAATCAAAATTGAGAATTTTTAGTGTGCGTGGTTTTTTTTCCTCCCTTCCCTTTGTCCTTAGTTTTGGGAATTTTCCTTGGCATAATTCACTTGACAGCAATTTAGAAGTTTGAAATCAGCTTTTCATCATGGCTTTGAATGTTGCTCCTGTAAGAGATACGAAATGGCTAACATTAGAAGTGTGCAGGCAATTTCAGAGGGGAACTTGTTCACGCTCTGATGAAGAATGCAAATTTGCACACCCTCCTAAAAGTTGCCAGGTTGAAAATGGAAGAGTTATTGCCTGCTTTGATTCCTTAAAGGTAAGAAAATATTTTGCATGCGTAATGAAAATGTTACTGTATCGTACTGAACGTAAAATGTGAAATGATGAGTTACAAGTAAACTAGTTTAAACAAAGTTATTTGTTCTCAGTGAGATGTATATTAATACAAATGTTGCTTGTTGTAACTTTGTTTTATTGAAACTTCTACAAGATTTCTTTCTAAGGATTTTCTTTTCCATTGTCAACATCTTGTTTACAAAAATTGCGTATGACTGTAAGGATATGGGATTGCTTACAACTGGTAGGACATTTGTATTCCCCCGAGTACATTTTATGAATTTTAGTTGTTTCATGGCAAATGAAAATACACGGTGGCACAGTACTAGGCTGTTACCAGAGCCCTAATAAAACAAATCCTATGGAAAGAGCGCAAATTCTTTAGTTTATATTAACAAAATTTTTAAAAGTCTATCCGTTACTTCAGTTTTGGCACAGTGGGTTGTTTACCCCTGGTCTTGAGGACTCTCGGATAAATTCATAACGTTGATAATTGTATGGATAGTGCAGGCAGCAGCATTAAGTTTAGAACAAGAGTGAAGGGATGTTTTCTTTTGGAGGATATTTAGCAATTATGTAGTTAAGCTATCACCTTCTTCTGACTTCCTAATAACATCAAGTATGCTTTAGAAAACTATTTTAAAAGTTCTGTGAAAATAACTTCGTGTACTGCAAAAAATAAGATTAATGACCTCGTGGGATTTGGGGAGTACACAGTGTTTTCTGTGATGATACATTTCTGTTCTCATTTCAACAGAATGCAAAAGCTTATTTCATATAAATAATTAAAGGACAAAATTGAGCTTTTTGGATTTTATTTTTAAAGTTTTAGTTGTGGCTTTGTCTTTTGGGCATGGGACAGTGTCATGGCTTACTTTTTAAACTTGGCTCTGTAGATCCAAAGTTTAGTTACTCACCAAGAACTCTCTTACTGTAAAAACATCAGTGTGAAGGAGAAGAAAATTCAGTGTTAATTGAAAATGTTAATTTATTTTCATTATAACTTTTTTTTTTTGGTGTGTAATCAATGCAAGAGACTGTGCTAGGCATCTTCTGGGTTTTCTGATTTCTTCTCTGCTTTTGGAGATTTAGAAGTGACTCGGGAAATGTTTGTGAGGGGGTTATGTTCTGTATATCCTGCAAGCCAGAACAGCACCTTTGGGGTCATGGCAATATGTCATCAAGTGCTATTAATGACCTTAATCCATGGATTACTGCGTGATAAACTGTAACAGCTTCTTTGTAGATGTTCTTGTATATTGGTTGCCTGCCAGTGGAATATTTTTATTTTTTTTAAACAGGCAGGCTAGTGTCTGCAGCAAATGGGTAATTCTTTTACAAAATGGGCAGCTTTTAGAAAAAAATAAGCAAGTCAGTAGAATTTATTTTATTTTTTTTTAATACAGTTTTTAACAGTTATAAAGGCTCGGGGCTATGGCTGGGAGATGGGCAGCCAGGCTTGGTCACCCCAGGGCTGGCAGGACAGTGGCTTTGTTGTGCAAGAGGTGCTGCTACTGCATCACCCTGGCCAAAGGGGTGATGTGCCTGTCCTTGCTGCCTGAGGACGTGGAGCTCGTGGCGGAGGTGCCGGCTATTTGAGCTGGAGACTTTTGTGCAGGGATGGTTATCGCCCACGAGTTGAAACTGGAGTCACAGCCTAAGCTAATAATACCATGAAGAGAAATCCAGAGGGATCACTGTGGATGACTTACTGACAACCAGCATCGTTGCTCAGTGGAGAGATGTCCAAAACCATGTAAAAAACGTAGCCAAAGCAAACAGGCGTGTTTTGTCCTAGTTTGGGAGGGCATCTGCTCCGAGGGGGCCAGCCCGTGTCCTGTGGCTGAAGCAGTGCTGCTCTGTCCCGCTGCCCAACACCAACCTTTTGCCAGGTGGCAGAAGGGAGCATTTTCTACTTGAGTCTACTGGGTTAAATTGCTTGTAACGATGGTGTCAAGGGTTTAGGGCTGGGCCAGCCGCTAAACGGATGACAGATGTGGTCTATATTAACTCCTGTCCCTCCCCAAAAGGGCAAGGGAAAAGGGAACGAGCCAGAGAGACTTAGGGATTATGCCAAGAAGCCAGATTGCAGCCTGAATCAGCCGAGGTGGAGGTACAGGGTTTCTTCCCGCTGACCCTGCTGCAGGCAGAGGGAGGTACCATAACAGGACGGCCACGTCTTCTGTTGCAGCTCCTCGCCGCCGAGCAGGAGTCGGAGCCGTGTGTTTCGGCGTCGTGCCTGGCCCCATAGAGCATAAAAAGCTGTTAAGGAGCATTGTGGGTGCATGGCTTTTGGACGTATCATCTGGTATCCTCGCAGCCATCACCTCTGTTATTCAGAAGGGTGTTTGTAAATTGCCGTGTGTGTGGCAAGAATGCGTCCCGTTAGTTCGGTTTGCTTACGCTGCCGGTTGAAGGGATTATGTCATTAGTCACATAAGTATATTTGATGGGTCGCTTTCAGAAATACTGGTGTTAATCATACAGTTTCAGAATAAGGCTTTGGCACTCAACGAGCAGGATAACTTTTCATATAAATAAACAAACAGAGCAGTCTAGAGTTACAGATAAAATCAGAATTTAATTTAAAAAAACAAGGGCTGTTTTCCTTGCTGAACGCTGAACCACACTTTAATGCAGACAATTACTTAGTGTTTATTTACATAATATTTGGAGCTTTGGAGACTTAGCTTTTTAACTGTCTTGGGTTGGTGTACCTGCTGTAGAAATAAATGATAGTGAGTATGTTGAGTCTCTTTGAATAAACATCTTCCTACCCAGAGAAGGCAGAGAATTATTTTTTTTAGTCTCAGGTTGAGGTATGTGTAACATTTAGGTGGTGCCTGGTAGTTACAGCTGCTCCTTAAGAAGTCAGTCAAACACAAGATACAGCACTCTGAGACAGGCCATCCTTTACACCCTAATTGATCAAAAAAGCTCCTGTTTTGGGAAGGAACACGCGCTCTCCTGCCTGCTGCTGCCTTTCCCGATTTCCGGTGTAGACAAGGGAGGATGGTATTGGTATGTACCCCTTGGATCTGACTGCCAAAGCAGGAGAGAGTCCAGCAAAGGGCCGCTAAGATGATGGTGTGGAGCATCTTTCCTGTAAGGAGAGACTGAGAGAGCTGGGACCGTTTAGCCTGGAGAAGGCTTGGGAGGATCTCATTGATCTATGTAAATATCTGCAGGGAAGGTGCAGAGAGGACAGAGCCAGGCTCTGCTCAGTGGTGCCCAGTGACAGGACCAGAGGCAATGGGCACAGACTGAAACACGAGAGGTTCCCTCTGAACATCAGGAAACATTTTGTCACTGTGAGGATGACCGAGCACTGGCACAGGTTCCCCAAAGGGGTTGTGGACTCTTCATCCTTGGAGATACTCAAAAGCCATCTGGACATGGTCCTTGGGCAGTTGGCTCTAGATGGCCCTGCTTGAGCAGGAGGTTGGACCAGATGATGCCCAGAGGATCATTCCAACTTCAGCCATGGTATGACCAGAAGCATCTTCATGCTGACTTGCCCACAGCCTCAGCATTGTTCTAAGCTAGCAAAAGATGGTCTTAGGACTGAAGAAAATAATCCTTGCCAGGAACATCTGCCTTCACACCGTGCCACGTCCTCCTTAGTGCTCCCACCACTGTCTTTGTCATTATGTGGTGCACCAGGCTGGGAAACTGATTGTGGTTAAACCCGAGTAGTTGCTGTAGTCGCTGCTGAGAGAAGGGAGAAGGGCTGTGTAGTGCCAGCTGAGCACTGGGTCACTCCTGCTGGTCATAGGGCTGTGGCCTTAGGCCAAGTTTCTGGAGTAACATGGTTGCATCAGAATGCAAATTTTCCTGTATTAAAGAAGTACATTTGTAAGTCTGTTGGTTCCAAGTAAAAGGTCAATAGAATTTAACAGACCCTGTTTGCTTTTAACTCAAAAGGGATTTTTGGCTCTGAATATCTGTCCTTGCAATACTTGACTTTTAAACCCAGGAAAAGTTGCAAGAGCAACCCATTGGACAGATTACAGTTTTGAGGATCCAGAATGCTCGCTGTTGAAAACTGTCTGGGCTCTGAATATTCTTCAGCTATGAGATGCTCCAGGCTAGACAGGAATAGCTAAAGACTAATGAGCCTGGTTCAGATTCAGGCCAGAAACTTGCTGGTTTCAAGCCAGATTCTGCCACATGGGCTTCTGAGATGCATCTCAGCATTTGTTTCTCGCTCTTAGGTGAAGGACAGAGCCTGGTCTGTTCCAAACAGGGTATTTTGGGGGTGTGAGGAGAATGCACATGGGTCATTCCTGTGCACCCAGTGGGTGACAGATGCAGCAGCCGTCCAGATGCCCATCAGCGGGTCCTAACATTGCATCCAGCGATGGGGCTGTCTCCAGCAGAAGCCCCCCATAGCTTGGACAGCTGGTGAGTCAGTTGAGCACACCCAAAACTGTACGGCGCAAGTAGCCTCAGTGTGCTTAACGTGAGAAAGAAGGTGTCTCCGAGCTAATCTGACTGACTGTGCCTCAGGTGGATGAAGGGGTACTTTACAAAGAGGGTGGTGAAACACTGGCACAGGTTGTCCAGAGAGGTAGTGGAAGCCCCATCCCTGGAGACATTCAAGGTCAGGCTCAATGGAGCTCTGAGCAACCCAATCTGGTTAAAGCCATCCCTGCTAACTGTAGGGGGGTTGGACTAGCTGACCTTTAAAGGTCCTTTCCAACGCAACACATTCTGTGATTCTGTGATTCCATGGCGAGGCCCAGAGCAGGAAGAGGGAGAGTGCTGAGGACATGCTGCCAGAGCTGGAGCCTTAAACTGTCCCAAAGCCTTTTTTTCAGAGCCCTTACAGGCTCCCCTTTGGATGCTGCAGATGCTGCTGTGTTTATAAAGTGGGAAGGATCTATGGAGAGGCCCTTGTCACTGGGAAGCTTGAATTTCAGGAACTGCTCTATATGTATTTTTCTACTTCTCGCTGGGTTCAGGTGGCTTAATTTAAAA